GCTGGATTGAAGCGGGTTCGGCAGCCGGACTAGTGAGAGCTCTAGCGTTGGGACAAATTGGGGCTCTGAAACGAACTCTGGGCTCGGTCGACGGACCTCAGGGCACCGAAACAGAGGGTTCACATGGAGACCCATACGAAGAACTGACTGCGGTTTGGCACCGGGAAAGCAAGTAACCTGGCTCCTCTGGAGGTCTGGAATGAGCCGGGAAAAGGAACACCTCATGAATGGAAGGAAATCGCCGCCTCTCTACAGAAAAGTTGTCAGAGGTGGGGGACGAAACAACAAGGGTAACACAATGGATCCAACCGAGCGGTCTAAGTGAACTGAGGGCTTCATAGAGCTCGCCTCCTGACTCCATAATCCAAATAGGTACTAACGTTATTTTGGGGCACCCTATCGAACCTCAGTTCATTAGTTCCTGAAGTAACACCCATTGGACTTTGCTTATTCATCCGGAATATTTTTGGTTTTTGAGATGATAGATTTGATCCATATTGTATAATCCTAGGTGGAACCTATATAAAGCACGTCCTAATTCTGTTCTGTGTTCTATAATATGTCACTTCGAATCAATGCATTTCATGATTTTGACTTGACGTTTGACATTGCGATGTTGTGTTTTATCCTCAATGTCATTATTATCATCACGTGTCATTTGTGATGAGTTGACTTCGATTTATCAAACTCACATTTACATCTTGGTTTTTCGAGAATAAGTTTCGAAAAAAAAGTTCTGAAATATCAGGCTCCCATAGAACTCGAATCATGATTCCTTGACATTGGCTCTACGCGGTTGGAAATGTGAAAACTCTACGAACGATAAGATTTCCACCAAAATCTGTAACACACGTCATGTTTCTAACACAGTAGCTTTGTCAGGTGGTATAAATACTGGTACAATGAACTAAACTAATCTTGGCTTGCTCAACTTTGATATATTCTCAATCTGAAGGATTAGTTACCCGTGGACAAGTTCGATAAACCTTCATTTTCGCAAATTAGGTGCAATATCTACATTGAAATACGGTACACCGGATTAACATGAAAGGGTTGATACAGGCAAATACATATTTTATAACCTACTAAAAACTCAAATTCTCAGTAGGTAATAATATGTATTTGCTGAATCTAAATATTCTGTAATAGCATTGAAAAAAAAAAAGTATATTGGTGCTGAAAAATAAAGAAATCTATCGTGCATGTAAGAACTTTGACATCGTATCATTGTTTTCCATATGCAATTATTTCATTACCCATAGCACACTTTCATGATATTTCGTCATAGGAGGAGAATATAAAGAGTATTTTTTTGTAAAATCTCAATTATATGTCTAGATTGTGGATTGAAAATATAAATTCAATATATTGTTCAAAAGGAATTTTTATACTGAATCGTAATATACTGAAAAAAAAAATGCACTTCCCGTCAAACCGGAAGTGTCATATTACTTTTGATACTAGCAAATTTTTACAGTCATCCAAACGAATCTATGTACGAAATTTGAAACACTTATTCAAAATAGCAACGAAGATACAGGGGGTCAAATTGGTTCCGGGTCACCCACTATAATCCATAATTATTTGCATTCTGCTACGACCGATACTGAGACTACAAATTTTCGTCGATTTCACACAGCGACCAATGATAGGTACTTACTTGTCATACTGGAACAATAATACAAATGTAAACGAAGTCACTTATCCACAGTAGATGATGAACCATTTACCACTAATTATCATCAATTTAATAACTGTCACATAATAAAGACGGATCGTCAACTACAGAACGCTAAAAAATATTTATAAGAAATACCAATACATTAAAGAAAAACAATATAGATTCGGTGGGAGACCAAAATGGCGACCGATGGAACGTGATGGGAAAGTTAAAATGTCAATGTTTATAGTCGAATAAACAGGACCGAACTGGAACAATGGAACCAGATACACTTTTCCAAGAAAATGATACGCACCACCAAGAAGTAGCCAAAAGTTTAAGAAATAGCAATTACACGATCAAGTTAGAATTGAACAGTTTAACCTTATCGTTTTTCAACATTTCTTGTTTGGATTTACTGATTTATCTTTCTTATTACTCCAGAAACACCATTTTATAGCGTTTCATAGTTTTATGAAGTATTAATATCGAAATCAAACAACGAGGAAACGAAAGGGAATACGAAGTCACAAATCAACGTTTCAACACTATTTGCGGTTCTGAAATCACCAATATAATAATGTACCATTCAGCTGTGACGCTTCCATTAATGATCACTAGTTCCATACAACCAGACAAAGAAATGCCTCTCCAGAGCATAGCCTGCTACTTCCGGCATTATAATGCCAATTGAATTCAATAAAATCATGTCATGCCATAAAATTGTGGTCCTGGAGAAATAGGAAAGATAATGGAATAATTCCAGAGAAGGAATGTTAAAGAAGTATTAAGCTAGAGTGTGCTTCAAAATTCATCTTGATAACGAATCTGTCACACACCACAGGATATTACAAATTTCATCTATCATTCGAAACAAAAATCGTCCAAATCGGACTACTAGTTTCGACGATAATGTATCTCTAACTTTTTGGTGGTGGATCCATTTTTTGGGGAAGTGTATAATCTTTGGAAGAAGTCTATGGTAACTCAAAATTGAATGGTGTAGATCATACGTCGAGGGGTAAATCTCCTTGGAAGTCTGGTGTACACTCCGTTGGAAGTGTTTGGAATTCTTTGGAATTCTTCGGATGTCTTTGGGAGTCTTTGGATGTCTTTGGTAGTCTTTGGATGTCTCTGGATGTCTTTGGATGTCTCTGGATGTCTTTGGATGCATTTGGAAATCGTTGAGAGTCTTTGGAAGTATTTGGAAGTCTTTGGATGTCATTGGAAGTCTTTGGAAGTCTATGTTAATTGGAAGTCTGGTGTACACATTTTTCCTGGAGATTTACCCCTCGTCATACGTGGAATATTTGGTTCAAGATTTATAGAACATATGGCTCACTCCAAATATAATCGGTTTGTTAAATCAAGTGTTGGCCTAACACGCTGTTATTTGAACCAAAACTGTTCTCTGAACCGTGACATAATTCTGATGTATAACTAGCATATTGCCAATTCTCACCATATCATTCTCAATTAATTGTGGTTTTTCGGGAGAATATTTCGAAAAATATCATAGAATCCACTAGTCTTCATTTCACTACCAGTTCTACGCAAAATGGCATCTTAGTTGCCGAAATTCGTATTCTTGTTTTCATAAATATTAATGTGACCACAGTCTTCAAAACTTCATTATTATGGCACTCAGGTCACAGGAGTTGAATATAGTTTCAATAGCATAATTATTTTTTTTACAAATGTCAAAAAATGACAAGGTTCGCGCATTGATCACAAATTGCGAAGTGACCCTTTTTTTCAGTTTCCTACGTTACCATGATATCTTGCACAATACAATGCGCGAGGTAAAACAGTGCGCGAAGTATCTACTTCGCGCATTGTTATGTAAAATATATGAGATATTTATATTTCAACTGTATGGTCCTCAATCGAGCAAACATTGACGAAATTATTTATTTCTGAATGTTCGACAATAACTTTGTTTTATCTCTTGGAGCGCACGAAAGAAAATTCCTATTATGTTCGTGGAACATCTTGCGTATCTAGGGAGGATACGCTGAGGCCTTTTAAGCCAGTTCAACACTATTTTTTTTATCAAGCTAAGCATATTTTTACCTAAAAACGATACTTTCTGACGTTTGTAGAAAAAATGTTGTTTGCAACTCGAGCGCGAAATACTTTGGTCATCTCGACTATTCTTTAACTCGGCTACGCCTCGTTAAAAAAATCAGATCTCGATCACCAAAGTAGCATTTCGCGCTCTGGATACAAAAACAACTATTGACTATTGAAGACAGGTAGAAAAGCTGCATATTATATTCCATTTCTCTATCATCTCTTCCGGAATTGAACATTTGACAACGTCAATTATTGTTTCGGAATAACAAACGGGATTCTGATAGTGTGTGTTAAAAAAATAGTTATTCGTTTTACTAGGCAGAAAATAAAAAGATTTGATTGAACGGCTGGCGTTTCATTGCCTAGGCGTAGCCGAGGCTAGGAAACAAGACATTTTTCTGCCATGTGAAACATATAAATTTTTCTCTAAATTCTTTTATATTTTACGCTGAGTCCAATTGATCCATTATTGTTTGTTCACCCAAATTCATTGTCAATTTTGATTACCAATTTGATTCAAATTACTTGGAACGTTGCATACCAACAAAATTTTTCTGCCTAAGCAGTAGAAGTACACTTTTCCTGCCTGTTAAGTGTTCACTTTTAATGTAATTTGGAGAATATAGTTATTTGTTTTAATAGACAACAAAGTAGTAACTTGACTGCCGCGGCTGCTAGTTCATAGCCGAGGGTAACGAGGTTAAGAATTCAACATTTCACATTTGACGTCTTGATGTTTCAAAATTTGAACACCTTGAATCCTTCAAAACTTCTAACGAATTTTTTAAACTACTATTTTTGTAATCATTCTGAAATTTTGTTGGAGAATAGTATATTCTTCAACGAGCGTATACTGATAGCTATTATTCCCGAGGATATGATTCCGGAATTATCCGAGTAGAAGACTATACTTTCTCTACGACTATACGATAGTCAGAAATTTAATGTAATCTAATTATTATTTATGAAAATAATATACTTGATGTATGAATTTCAATATTATAATACAATTGACAGGAATCTTTAATATTCAACGAACTCAATGATGAAACAACACAATGATTAATAGGTCAGTAAATTATGTTTCTCGTACTTAGTGACTAAATTTTTGGTGATATTTTCTGACTGACATTTTCGTTCATATTGCTAGTTGATGTTTTTTGTGTGAAGGAACTGTTATTTGATGATAATGAACATTGTTCGATTCATTGAAGAATTCGAATCTGCCGTTTTTTTAGGTACCTATCTGAAAATGCAATCTGGGCTAGTCCTGTCCATGTTCTCGGATATCCTCTAGTCGAGCTTTAGCCAGGTTTAGCGTCTTGCCGTCCCGTGCTTCACCTTATAAGAAGGCAGGTCTCATATAACATACGCAATGGTTATGTAATTGCCTAAGCAATTGAACTTTTATTGAACTTAATAAAAATCGACAAGTTGGCAATTGTCTAGGACCGGAAATATCCTCCGTATACGGACAAAGGTTGGCTGTCTAGAAGCGTTCATTGACTTTTCATTTTCCCAGGACTATAGGCGATATTGGATTCAAGATATAGATTGAGATTGATTAATCATGTGACAACTCCGTAAACCTAGAGTTTGAAACGGTATATACATATATATATTTATATTTCAGAACAAATTTCAAATTTCGTCCTGTATTGGGTTGAAGTGTGATCCCTCATTAACACAACTGTTTTTGATTTACGTCAATATCTCATTTTACAGAGAGGATACACGTGTTTCAAGAAAGTATGGATTTTTCTTTCTGCAGAATTTTATTCTGTTAAAACTATCAGAGATGACTGGACGATATCAGATACTTTTGAAATTGCTCTTGCTCTAGTTTCTGTCTTAATTGTTGAATCAAAGTTCATCACTCGAAATTGTCTTGAAAGAAAATATGATCATAGTATCTAAGACATCTGATTACGATAGGAAGACAAATAAAATGATTCAAGCAACTCGTCGAGATCCGAACAATGAGTACAGTACTTCAAGTGGTTAAGAATATCAGATTCTCAAGCAGAGAAAACATGTTTGGAAAAATACAAAAATGCAGAAGACGTCGAATGAGATTCCTTGTGGGCTTCATACATACAATTTTTTGAACTCTCCTCCAAAGTTATAAATCATCACTCCATTCGCCGTGCAAGTATTTCGAATTTTTGTTTGACTGGTGAATCTGAGTTCGAATGGTGATTACATTGAATTGGAGGATCAAATTCACCATGTAGTCTGAATAAAATGTGTTCACCTTTTATAATATGCTTGAATGAAGAACAACCTGATTATCTTCATGTAAAAGTATCATGGGGAAGTTTCCAACTCATGAATTCTCATCAAACAAACTTTACACTGATCTGTATGTTCTTGCAAATGGAGAATCAACAATAAATAGTAGTCTGAGAGACTATAGAAACACCCTTCTCTAGAAAGCCAAACTGAGAAGAGGTTGAAAATGAACTAATAAAACTTTGTTCAATGAATACACAAAATTGAAAATATTATCATCACTCTAATCAGTACATTTAGAATTGAGCGGCGTGAAGAAAAATAGGACTATTTTTCTCTAGTTCAGTTTGTCACATATTCTCATCATTGAATGAGACTGAAAAGGAATAATAACAAGAACTGTTATTTTTTTTCAATATGGCGGTACAAGCAGCAGATATATATGAGGTGATGAAGTGAAAATTGGAATAGAGCATCTGTAATCAATGCTTATACAAATTTTCAAAACTCCCATAAAATATTTCAGATGAAACTGCCAGATAGAAACCAGATATCTGGACAATATCTTCCAGTTGTGAAACTGCTCTTGCTCTAGTTTCTGTCATTGTTGAATCAAAGTTCATTACTGAAAATTGTCGTGGAAGAGATTGTGATGATAGTGTCTAAGACCTCTGATTACGATGGGGAGACGAATTAAATAATTCAAGCAACTCGTCGAGATTCAAACAATTCAAACAATGAGTAGTCTGGCTATTCAGAGTGACCTACAGGGTGCGAATTTTCTTGAATTTTCATTTAACGAGTGAATTTCAGTTCGAATGTCCATCAAATTGCATCGAAGAATCAAATTGATCATGTAGAATAGGTCTGAATGAAATGTTTCATAATAAAATAATGTCCGAATGAATCTGAACTGAAAACGACCTAAACATTCGAATAATTCTGATTAGCTGAACAATGAGACAATAGGTTATCTCGAAATGAAGTTTGATGTGAACTAGTTTCAGGTAAAAATGAATGCTTGGGCTGAATTTCTCTTGCTCGAGTCTTGGAAGCAATGAAGGTAATCGAATTCTACCTATGGAAGTTCCTAGCCAATATTACGATATAACGATCATATGAAAGTTGAAACAGCAACATCACCGTCAAGCGATGAAAATCGTGTTATAGCATCAAACTATACTGGAAGTTGTTATAGAACGTTCAAATTCGATATGTGATGATGAAAATAAAATCAATGTTTTCTTCATGAGCGTTTTAGGAAAACGAACAGATAGGTAAGCCAATTTTCAGTGTCTGTGACTCCGTCCGAGTGGGCATTCCCCATATTTTGGAAAGCAAAAATTAATGCCCAAATCGAATTCCAAAATATATTATAAATGAAAGTTTTCCTCATATAACTTCATGAAAGACAAAGTATAAGGTTCTCACGAGAGCGACGAACGGACATAATACAATTTTTTAGTATTATTTGCAAGATTCATCTGTCAATTAAGTTAATCGTGAGATCGTTCTAGTAACACTGATGTGACAATCACTGCTCAGTTGATAGATCCATATTGAAATTGAGCTTACCTAATTGCCAGATAGATCTGGAATTAGGTAAGCTAAATCGTCAGATCGATGTTTCAATTATTTCAATTGCAAGATCCATTTGACCATTGATCTGACAATTCGGCAATACTCACCAGATCGATCTTACAATTGAGATAATTGCAACATCGATCTGAAAATTCAGCACTTATTGGCAGATCGATCTGGCAATCAGGCAAGCTTGATTGCAACATATCGATCTGATAATTAAGCACTAATTGCCAGATCGATGTTGCAATTGAGTCCAAATTGCTAGATCGATCTTACAATGAGCTTAATTCACAGATATATCTCAGGATGTCTTCTTATATTTTGACTCCTCAACCTTAAGCTCCGAGTGGAGAAAACTTCAAATGAAAAAGTTGAAAGGGTTATTTGTGCTATCTTTTGGCACTCCTTGAACAACATATACGAATCGCAAAAAGGGAGAAATGAGTCCAAATCCTTTTTTTTTTCAGATAAAACACAATTTTCTTATGTTCACAAATATACATTATGACTCAATTGGAAACATATGGAGGGAGAACTACTTCTAATTATTCTTTTTGAGAACAATCACCAGATATAAATTTTTTGCAGTCAAATATGCGCTATATCAAATATGAAAGTATACTTTACTCTTGAGTACTTTTTTTGACACAGCGCGTATACTTATGGAAACATTTGATATCTGATGATAGTATTTCAAATTTCTGAACATGCAGAACACTTCTTGTGGGAAATATTTTTTTCCTCAAATAAATTGAATAGTAGTTCTCCATATGGTTTCAACTCAGTGATACATAATAATATACTGTATATAGTTGGCTAATGTTTCCTTAATCCGTTTTCGACTGTATCCTTGCTTCGCACTACTGATATTTTTGCAATATCTGCATATTATAATGATCGCAATATTTCGTATGTTTTCTGTACGAAATAACCCGTTTTAATTATAGAATCGACAAGGATGTTTTCATCCTATGGCATTTCTGTTGTGTCCACAGCCATCTGAATGTCATAGCAACTCTGATCCAATGCTAAATAGGCAAAAATGGCATGAGAAAACTATATTATATTTGTGAACAGAAGAGAAATATACACCGTGTCCCAGCTAAAATGTCCCTCCCCTGTAAAAAATCAACCGCACGATCGAATGACTTGAAATTTGGTCACCCAGTATATTTGATGATGCTCACACGAAATATGCTATTGAATAAATCGTGGATATACAGGGTCACACCAAAGGGCACGTCAACTTTTTTATTTGAATAGGGACACCCAGTATTTTTCAAACAAGTACGAAGATATAGCAAAAACCAAAACGATTCAATAAAAAACTCATATGATTAGATTTTATCAATATAACACGATAAAAATCGAATGATGGGTGTCCTGCACATAACTACAGACCCGTGAAGGATTATCTTCGCCATCGGTTGGAGAAAATCTAATAATCACCAATTGTCTCGATGGTGATAGCAACTGGCCAGCTTGGTCGCCAGACCTCACCCCACTAGATTTTCATTCGTGGGGCTACTTGGAACAAGGTTTATGAGTCGCTAATTGTGAATATGGAAGAAATGAAAGAGAAAATCACAAATGTATGCGCACAAAATGATCGCAACGTGATACATAGGGTCACAATGAACGTTATCAAAAGAGCTAGGAAATGTTTGCAGCAGAATGGACGACATATTGAGAAGTTGTTGTTTTAATTATTCTCTTTTCATTCGATTTCAATCGTGTTGTATTGATTAAATGTAATCATATACATTTCTTTATTGAATCGTTTTATTTTTTGGCATATCTTCGTATTCGATCGAAAAAAATCCAATCAAACCCGGCATTGTTGAATTTGTAATAATGAACTCTACTTTAGCATGAAATAATATACTGGGTGAAATAGGAAAGTTTAGGTGCACTTCGGTGTGACCCTGTACCCTACGATTCATTCAATAGCATATTTCGAGTGAGCATCATCAAATATACCGGGTGACCAAATTTCAAGTCATTCGATCGCGCGGTTGATTTTTTACAGGCGGAGACATTTTAGCTGGGACACGGTGTATATCACTACAGTTGATTCGAGCTTTCCTCATCATGTTGCAATTCTCATCTGTCCGTTTAAGGAGTCTCAGAATATAGTACCCATATACAGGGTCGCTGATATACATGGGAACAGTTGAATATCTCGGTAACCTGTTGTTGGATTTTTTTGAATTTATGTACTGTGTGATTTCAAAACGTGGCGGATTTGGAAATGTTATAGCCAATGTTGCCACTTTTTCAGTTATTCCAGATTTTTCATTAACATCCTTATTTCGAACAGAACACCCTGTACTTTATTGAATTTTCAGATTCTTCTTCGAGACTTGATTCCATCGATCTAACACACTTGGGATCTAGCGGGAATGATTACATAGGTAAAGGGTATTTGAAATCTAGTTTTTCCATCATTCATTATCGATCAGAACCGCTTCAATGTTCCTATCTTCACTTTCTGTTCACTATCTACTGAAATTCAATTGAAACAAATTCAGGGTGGTTCAAGATTTAGAATTCTGATCACCCTCTGTACCTGTTCCAATTAAATGTCATTAGATAGTGAATCAGAAGTGAAGATAGGAATATCGAAGTGGTTTCGATCGATAATGGATGGTTTCGACACAAAAAAATCCTGATGTGGAAAAATCGAGATTTCAAACACCCTATACTTATGCAATCATTTCCGCTAGACCCCAAGTGTGCTAGATCGATGGAATAAGCTCACCAAAGAGAATCTGGAAATCAAATTAAATACAGATTGTTCTATTCAAGATGAAGAAGTTACAAAAAAATCCGGAATAACTGAAAAAGTGGCAACATTGGCTATAACATTTTCGAAGTCGCCACGTTTTGAAATAACACTGTACAAAAATTCAAAGAAATCTAACAACAGTTAACCGAGATATTTACCTGTTTCCATACATATTGGCGTCTCAAAATCCTACAACTTCCATAATTGAAGTTTATTTCCACTTCGTATAGTTAAAGCTATAGGTCGAGGTCAGAATATATGGAGACACCGTCCTGTATATTCTAGAACATGTTCGACCATTCCAGAACTCTCCAGAAAAACGAAAAAAACAAAAGACTCACCTCTGGCGCACCTGGTGCACCTCTTCCTCGGGTAAGAAGCGTGCCTCAAGGAGTGCTCGTCGATGTCAGCCTCAGGGTTCACGTTTTCCCTCTGAGGAAAGTCCTCTTTGAAGCTTTTCGACGATGAGGCAACACTGTGCGTCCTGTCTCTGGCCACGAAAGTGCCTATCGAGTGTCTGCGTTGACCAGTGCGTTTAATTGCAGGAAAATTATAATATCTGGAAACGACAAAAACTTGCTTGAATTTCCTAGTTATCAGCAGCAAGAAGAAGAAAGAATATTGAAATAGTGGATTACATATTCCGACGCAAGAAAACGAATCTAGTTTGAGAAATAAAAACATTGTATATCAAATATTTCAAACACTGAGAAAGCTCGACGTGTACAGGGTGATTCACCATAAATGTCCCCCCCTCTAGCTCAGTTATTTTTGAACCGATTTTAAAATTTGAAATATCATCTTGAATGATTTTCGATGAATTTTTTTTCCGCTAGATCAGAAAATACAGGGTGCTCGGAACAAACGATCTACAGGGTACTATTTGATTTTTTTAAATGGAACACCCTATTTTTCATTGTATTTTCAGATTCTCCCTGAAGAGCTGATTTGATCAATGCATCACACTTGGGGTCTAGCGGGACTGATTACAGAGATAAAGGGTGTTCAAAATCGAGATTTTTAACTTTAGGATTTTTTTTGTGACGAAACTATTCATTATTGGTCACGCGGTTTTCATGTCCGTATCTCAACTTTTTATTTACTATCTACTGACATTTAATAATTGGAACAGATACAGGGTGACCAGAATTCGGAATCTTGAACCACCCTGTAAATGTTCCAATTAAATTTCACTAGATAATAAATCGAAAGTTGGGATGGAAACATAGAAGCCGTTTTGACCAATAATGAATAGTTTCGGCAAAAAAAAATCCTAAAGTTGAAAAATCTCGATTTTGAACATATCTCTGTAATCATTCCCGCTAAACCCCGAGTGTGATACATTGATGAAATGAGCTCTCCAGGAAGAATCTAAAAATACAATAAAATACAGGGTGTTCCATTTGAAAAAATCAATTAGTACTCTGTAGGCTTGTTCCGAGCACCCTGTATTTTCTGATGCAGCGGGAAAAAAATTTCGGAAAAATCATTTTAGATTATCTTTCAAATTTTCAAAACGGTTCAAAAATAAGTGAGCTAGAGGGGGGGACATTTATGGTGAATCACCCTGTACTAACGAATGACACTAATAAAAAATAAATTGGGATTGAAATGGAATTTCAGTTTAGACCTGTCTTTCCACCCAGAGTTCTACACCGTAGCAAATCTGACGTCACCCCTGTTCAAATTTTCATGCTGGTAGGCACAATCACGCGGAGTTCAATCATTTGAAATATTTTATTGTGGCGTATTTGATTTTTTCTCGAATTTGGTTCAATTTTTGAGATGAAATTTCCCGTTTATTAAAGGAATCAAAGAAATCTAATATCATGTAAATATTCCTTAGACTGTATCATATTAATGTGCTGAATTTGTGCACCTCTTTCGAAAATTGCGAGGAAAATACCAAAGCGGGATCATCAACTCAGAATGCTAAATACATTTTTGATATCGAATGTATGTGTATTATGATTATGTGCTCGACAATATCAACCTCAAGGTGCTCGTTTTTCCTCTGAGAAAAGTCTTCGAAGCTTCTTGACGAAGAGGCAACACTGCGCGTCTTGTCTCCGACCACAAAAGTGCCCATATCGAGTGTCTTCGTCGGCCAGTGCGTTCAATTGCATACAAATTATATCTGGAAACGAGAAGAACTTGCTTGAATTTTCTATTTATCAGCAGCAGCGAAAACAAAGAATATTAAAATTTTGGATCACCAAGTAAACGAATTCAGTTCGAGAGAAAAAAACATTGTATATTTTATCATGAATGTATATAGGAAGAGTTTTGCTATTCGAAATATGTATATTATATCATGTGCTCGACAATATCAACCTCAAGGTGCCGTTTTCCCTCTGAGGAAAGTCCTCTTTGAAGCTTTTCGACGTTGAGGCAATACTGTATTTTCTAAGGCCACGAAAGTCCTGCGTTGGCCAGTGCGTTTAATTGCAGGAAAATTATAATATCCGGAAACGACAAAAACTTGTTTGACTTTGCTAGTTATCAGCAGCAGGTAAGAGGAAGGATATTGAAATTGTGGATCACATATTCCTACGCAAGAAAACGGATTCAGTTTGAGAGAAAAACATTGTTTATCATGAATGTATACAGGAAGAATTTCACCAGCATTCATGATATTCAATTGAATTTTGATTATTGCGAGGAAAATACCGAAGCCTCAATGTGCTCATTTCCTCTCTGAGGAATGTCCTCATTGAAACTTTTTGAAGACGAGGCAATACTGTGCGTTGGTTGGTGCGTTTACTTGCAGGGAAATTATAATATCTATTCTGGAAACAAGAAAAACTCGTTCAAATTTCCTAGTTATTAGCAGCGGAAAAAAGGGAAGATTATGGAAGTGTGGATCCTCTTTTTTCACGAGAAATTGTATATTATGGATATACAGTGTCATTCATAAAGTCGGCATCATATGGGATAAACTTTTATTAACGACTTATTTTGAGATTCGACTTGGACGTTGAGTTTTGCTTCAGAAAAGATGCAAAACGGCCTACTCAATCGGGGTCACGTGACTTTCGCTACATGTCAAAAGTGGCATTTTTTCAAATCAATCGCTGGAAGTAGGGTTATTTGTTCGAATATCGAAAAAGTTTACTTGAAAAAGTTGTTTCTATTTCAATTTTACACATGCTTCTCGAATTTGATCTTTCTATTGCAACTTTTAGATTTTGTTTTTTTTTAAATTTTTCAAAATTTCTGTAATATTTGAAGAATTGTTAATTCCACGAAACTACTTCATACCAGTAGCTATTTCATGCTAGTTATTTTCAATCACTTATTATCACTGATTATGGACAGAAATATGATTTTCTTCAGAAAATGATAATACCCGCTTCCAAATTCTGTTATGTTTGAAGCAAAGTTGATATATCGTCAAGCATTTAGAAACGAAATTCATTTAAACTGATATTTTCAGTACTGAAAAAATTAATTCAAATGAATTTCTTTTCTAAATGCTTGACTCAAACATAACAGAATTTCGATGTTATGTTTGCATCAAACATAACTGAATTTTTAAGCGGAGATTATCATTTTTTGAAGAAAATCACATTTTTGTCGATAATTAGTGATGATTATTAATTGAAAGTGAGTAGCATGATGAAGCTACTGGTATGAAGTAGTTTTATCGAATTTACAATTTTTTTAATATTACAGAAATCTCGAAATTTTAAAAAAAATATCGAAATCTAAAAAATGTAAAAGAAAGATAAAAACAACTTTTTCAAGTGAACTTTTTCGATATTCGAACAAATAAGCCTACGTTCAGCGATTAATTTGAAAAAATGTCACTTTTGACATGTAGCGAAAATCACGTGACCCCGATTGAGTAGGCCATTTTCCATCTTTTTTGAAGCAAAACTTTACGTCCAACTCGAATTTCAAAATAAGTCATTAATAAAAGTTTTTCCCATATGATGCCGACTTTATGAATGACACTGTATATATAGAAATAGTTTCACCAGCATTCATGATATCCGATGCATTCCGATGATTGAAAGGAAAACACTGAAGTGGGACCATCAACTCAGAATGCCAAATACATTATTGATATTTGAAATATGTGTATTATATTATGTGCTAGACAATATCAATATCACATATCAAAATTTATCGATAAATATCGATGAATCTATCGATATTTTTCCCCAGCCTTAGGCGACTCTGAACGTCCTGGCTCTCTGGCATAGAGATTGCCGGAAAATTGTGATATAATCCGGTCAAGTTAAACATCCGAGGTTGCAAGAATTCGCAGCAAGCTGAAAATCTAAACACCATCATGCATGAAATCCAAAAAGTCCTCATCGATCCGACACCTGGAAAAAATTTTACTCGGGGTCAAAGGTCACAAAAACGAGTTTTTCGCGATTTTCAGCAAAATGGTGAGTTCAATCATAAAATTAGCAGAGTACCCTGTATATTCAGGTTAATGATAATTCGAGCTCCGAATCAATTATTTCCACAAAAAAACATTTAGAATGAGTTTCTACTTCAAAGGGATCCACCCGTTATTTTTTCACTGGTAGGAACCCCAGGCGAGCTCATCAAGCAGGCTAATCGATGCAGAGATTGAATATCCTGAGGGCAGAGGACGCAGTTAATATTCATTCCAGAGCATATTTATCTTGAATTTTCGCAGATCCAACTTTGAATATAAATGAGATCCGGGGAAAACGATGGGTGGATGGGTGGAACATTTTTCACGGCTTTTCAGGAAAACATTCGAGCATACTGGTTTTTCATTGCAAGAGGTGGTCATGAAATAATAATTATGAACCGTTCATATGGTGTAATTTAGATCCGCACAGGACTATTAAGTATCTGGAGAATCGGAAAGACAGATTATTCTGATTATTTTTTGATATATCTGGAAACCAATGAGAACTGTCAATATCTGTCATTAATATTGATTTTATCCAATCAAGACATTATCATAGTGGAAATAATCTACTTTCATTATTGCCAAGGGAATAATGTGAAGTATTTTGTTTTTGTTGATTGACAACGTATATTTTATTAATTTGACACTTCTGTTATCAATATTCATAAAATAAGCAAAAATGAACAAAAATCCATTCAGTACTTCTTCTGTTAATAAAATCAGCGATAAAATCAGAGAAAATGCATGTAAAAATAGTACAATAAGTAACGTATCGATCTGGAAACAGTTTCAATGTTTCTGTGACGAACGAGGTTAAAAACTGGAAGAGAATACAACAACAATGAAACTAGCCGATATTTTGAAAGACTATGGATTCAATATGAGAAAGTATAATGGAGAAGACTATAAGGAAGCCGTTATAAAAACAATGTGGAACAAAACTGCAAAATTAATGCAAGATATGTATTTCAATGAATTCAATAGACGAATTGATCCTTTCAGAGATATCGAATTCAAATACGCGAGAGAAGCTAGAAACACGAAGCGTAACACTACGAAAAGAACCTGAAAACAGGAAGCAAAGTTCTGCAATTCTAAGTAAGGGAGAAATAATGGACATGATTAAACGGTATGACGAAAACACACCGTCCGGCTTGCAAAAGAAGTTCTACCATATTGCCTCATACGAATTAGCATGGCGTGGTGGAGAGGGTTCTCAATGCTTGGTGCATTATTTTAAAGAAGAAACAGACAATGTGGGTTTGGCTACTGGGCGAATGGAGTATAATCCGATATTCTCCAAAACTGCACAAGGTGGAGCAGAAAGATGTGCCAATAGTAAATGGTTGATACCAAATATCAAAAACTTTGATATCTGTCCAGTTCGATTGCTCAAGAAATTATTAAGTAAGCGGAATACGAATATCAAGACTGATAGACTCTTTTTAACAGGGAACATTGCTTGGGATAAGCCATATTCTACAGGATGGTACAAGAATATGCCGATTGGGGTGAATAGTATGTCGAAGTGGATGAAGGAATCTGCAGAGATGATAGGACTAGATATTAAAAAAATCAAAGTTACTAACCATTCTGCGCGTTCAACTGCAGTGTCTCATCTTGCCAAATCAGGAATTAATGAGCAAGAGATTATGAAAATTACGGGCCACAGTTCATCTGATTCACTGAAGTCTTACTTACAGTTGGATAAAGAACATTATTCAAATTTGATTGGAGAGATTTAAGAGGAAGTAGAAAACGCATAGCTACCTCTAACACAACAGAACATACCAATGTTGCAGACTTCTCCACTCAAGGGCACGATATTTATAATAACTGTATTTTTCATGTCCAAAATTTCAATGTAAATAGCTGATTTTTTCATTTTATTCTGTGTTGTCCTCATCTGTTGACTGTTGAAATAAAATTATGCTTTTGACGTGAGGTTTTCCTAAAAGAATCAAAAAATAATCTATCAAATACCACACGGGAGTTCGATGAATTAGAGAATATTTCTCCAGATAGTTTGTCGAACTTGTTGCCATTCGGCAATAGTCACTCGAGCCCTTTGGGCTCTCGTGTCTATTGCCTGGCAACAAGTGCTCAAAAATCTGTCGAAATATTCTCAATTTATTCTCACTCTCTTGTGATATTACTAGTGACTATTTCACGCAGTTATCAAATCAACCAATCAGAAGCTCAAGTCTAGTTCGACTTATCGACTCTTGACTCTGATTGGCCTGTCAAGTTCGGTGTTTTCAATGTGTATGTGACAGTTAAACGTCAAATATAAGGAATAACGTTGGTGCACGCATTCAAGGCGGATTCATGTAACATTTATTATGGTTACATTTTCACTGCATTATATAATTTGGTACATTTTCACTGAAAGAGAGAGGTAATTGATTGTACGATTTTGAACCAAAGTATGTGAAAAAATTTTGAATATGACTCAACCTGCAGCGTGGAACTATTATAACTTGGTTTGAAGTCATACGGGTCTTATTCGGATGCGAAATAATCTTCAATGGTCTGCTAAGTATCCATAGTCAACAATTATATGCATATAGCTTTCTAACTTGAAACAGAGTAGCCTCATGATATACTTCTCCAGTGGAGTATCTGCGATTTTTTTCGATTTTTCTTCAACATTATTTTCATCAGAGTATTTTGAATAATGTCCAGATTATACTGTAACGACTTGATTAATCCACCCCCGACAATGATAAAATAGCGTATTATAGACTCACACAAAGCCCTATGAACCATCAACATCACAACTCTTCTCAAAATACCTCGAAGTTGATAAAATTTGTAAATTAACTTCCGGAGTCTTTTCATTGTGTTATCTACTACGAAGGCCTGAAAGGGACACATAAAATAAAAAAAAATAATATATGATTGTTCCAACGTAGATTCTGGTCAATCATTATACCTAAATATATAATTGATTCATTTTTATTTATTTGTGAGCAGGAGCAGTTTGGAATTTCTGTACATGTAGATTTGTGGATTTTGGGAAAGGTTTTCATAGATTCTTTTTTTTACGTTGATGGAAAAGCTATAAATCTCGTTTTTTCGATATTGAGGCTCAATAGATTATTACTTAGCCAGATGTAAATCAGTTGCATACCAATTTTTGCATTTTCGTATAGTACCTCATTCCATGTATCACCCACAAATACTACAGCCGTATCATCTGCGTGGGATATTAGCACAGATTATTAAACTGTGATATTAGATCACCATGATATTGCTTATTTCGAAGGTAGGTCTAAAAATATGGTAAGGCATTTCTTTTGATCCTGAAAACAATTGAATATATTGTTTGTTGATTCAAACACGGCTTGTTCAGTTGATGAATTCGCTCTAAATCCATACTGAGAATCAGAAAAAATGTTATTGTTGTCACAAAAATGTATACTATTCTGCTTTTCAAACACTTTTGGAATATTTTAGTAAAGTTATTGATTACTGTTATGGGCCCATAGTTGTTCGTTTTTTGTTTGTCTCCAGATTTGTAAACTGGGGTTGTGATAGATTTTTTAAATGCCTTTAAATATATTCACATTTTCGACTATCTCTCCGATAATGATGCCGATTATTTTTTGATGTTTTGATATGAATGAGCAAAAATATTTTCCAAATTTGTAACAATCACCCTGGATTCAGAAAGCGGACTCACAGTTCCACGCCAGTTCCCGATTGCTAAATGTTCACGCCAGTCCTGGAAGGTCAAATATGGTGTACACTTTTATGCAGTGCCGGATTTATACTCCTTTACGCCGAGGGCCAACTTTTACGATGGCGCCGCGCCGCCGCCAAATATTAAATTTCAATTGTGAGTTTCATAATTCAAATAATCCTTTCAAAATTTTTTATAGCATATAACAATAACATGAAATCAGTATGTACAACGAATCAGATTGAATTTACTTCACACGTTGAACATAACAACAGACAACAAATATTTATTTTCAGATGAATACTGAAATACTTTTCTTAAATTTTTTGATGCAAAGTCGTCAATGGCACTGTTGATACTTAGAATTGATAAGATATTCAATGTATCGTTTACCATGGAATTCCTAGGGTAGTTTTTCACTCTTTTAAAAGTTGAGAATGACCTCGCGTATTGAATGTAAAAATATATAAAACTTACCATTCCCGTCTTGAGATCGTGAAGTTCCCGCAGACGGTTCTGTCGGTTCTGATTCTGTCTCATTTGAATTTAGAAAAAATGAATGTTTTTTAGGGCATTCCTTGACAACTTCGTCCAACTGCTTTAGTTTATTGATCTTTTGCCGTTTCCAGAATGCACCACCTTCTTTTCTACTAATTTTTTTTTCAGTTTCAATATTTATTTATTATTAGTATCATTACTAACAAAACCAACGACAACCTATTGAATGATGAACTCTGATTTTGTATTTTGTTCTAATCATCACCGCCGCCGCTTTTGTATTGTAGCGTCCATGACACAGCTGACGCTAGATTAGTGCATGTTATGATTTTCACAAGAACAGTACCTATCTCAGACAAGTTCTTTCGATGTGGTGCCGACTACCAGCGGTAGCTAATTGCGCGTTTGCTTCAAAAGGCGACTAAAGAGGCGGCATACAAAAAGCAAGAAGCAATATAATATATTTGTCGCCTCGTCAGCGACGACTATATTGCTGCTTGCTTTTCCTCTTTTCTCTTTCTCTATCGTCTCTTGAAATTTACCGCCGAGGGCTGATAGTCCCATAGCCCATCCCCCCCTGAGTCCGGCACTGCTTTCATGGAAGTTGTTTGCCCCTCGACAAAAACTGATCACGAAAAGTAACTCACCTGGCGGAATCGTCCCCGACGAAGACCTCGTCCTCCGATTGGCAGTCCGCCTGCTCCTCGCTGGTAGCCAGAGGCATATACCCCGCAACGTCCCCTTGGTGTTCCTTGCGCTCCTTCAATGAGTTGGACCTGCTGCTGGCTACCAGGTCAGGCGCGATGTCGCACAATCTCGGCTCGCCCATAAAGAACATCTCTTGGTTGGAGTCCGCGGAGTTGGAGCTGACTGATCTCAGGAAACTTCTCTTGTCGCGTGCGAAGCCCCTGAAGCCAAAAATGTCTGAATTTTCGAAGATAGTGCGTGTTATGTCGTGAACATTCTCATTCCGTTACTCGAAGGACCAAATGTAATATTCGTGATTTTACTTCTTCTAGTTTGAAGGACAGCCATTATTAAAGAGACCAAAAATAACTCATGTGACTGAAACTCAGTGACTTTAATTAACTATATAACTCGATATATACATCAGAAACGTTGACGAGATTTTTTTCGTGACTTGAATCTGTCGCTTTGAATTTACTACTTGGTTATCAAGGGCACTGGACTGCTGGCGAAACAATTAGGACACTTCGGTATGCCCCAGCATTGCTTCCCCGAAAGGTTGCAGTGGGTTGGCAGATGATCATATGGAGATTTCAAAGGCACTGTCAGGTGAGAGGAGAGAACCTAGTGGTTGGCGAGCAGAGCAGCGAAATCTTTCATTAGAAGTCGGAAAACCGTCTTCAGTCTATACTGAAGCGATTGACTTCTTAATTAATACGCTTTCATCAGCTTGGTATGTATGTTTGCATGTTTGTAATGGAATTCACTTCAAAACATCGGATTGAAATGAAACTTCGCACATTCGTCAAGGACCCATGGAAATTGCATAATTCAGTCTTTCTCCATCATTCTGTTGGGATCTTAAGGATGAGTGATTTTTGTTTCACAACTAGAGACGCGAGGGTCTTGCACTAAGTACTCGTATATTAAGAAGCGGAGTTGACCAAGAATAAGGAGGAGAAAGTAAACGAGATTTTGTAGTTAGCTGTTTCCTTGGTGCTCCTTGCGCGCCTTGAAGGAGTTGTACCTGCTGCTGGCTACCAGGTCAGGCGCGATGTCGCACAATCTCTTGATTTGAGTCCGCGGAGTTGGAGCTGCCTGATCTCAGGAAACTCCTTTCGTCGCGTGTGAAGCCCCTGGAGCCAAATCTTTCTAAATTCTCGAACTTGTGAACTTCCCTATTCGGTTACTCGAAGGACCAAATTTCATATTCGTAATTTCACTTCTTCTATAGCTTAAAGGACCATCATCATCACAGAGACCAGAAATAACTCACGTGACTGGAACTCAGTGACTTTTATCATCTATATAACTCGATATATACATCAGGAACGTTGACGAGTTCGTGACTTGAATTTTTCGCTATACATTTTTTTTTTTTTTTTTTTTTTTTTTTTTTTTTATTTCAAATAAGCCGCATAAACCGTTAGGTCATTAGCGGCGGATGAGTTAAGTATACGTGTACATTTGTGTTCTTACAATTTGTCACTAATATGTATGATATTTAGGAAATGTATTAATAAATTGATATCACAGTTGTAACTCAATATGTCCTTTAGGTTCAGTGGTATGTTGAGAAGTACTCTTTCTGGTTCGTGCATTGGACACTCAGCTAGGATGTGCTTCACAGATAGGTTCACGTCACATATGTCGCATCTGGGTTCCTGTTGGCGTGTAATTAAGTACTCGTGTGTAAGTCTGGTATGGCCGAGGCGTAGTCTGCTGAATATGACTTGGTGTCTCCTATTTTTTGCCCAGTTGTCCCACTTTCCCGTGTTTGGTTTGACTTCTTTCAGTTTAGAATTGATGTTTTGCCATTGGGTATTCCATTTGTTTCTTAGTTTGGATTTGAATGAAGCTTTTAAATCTGAGGCTGTTGTTCTATGTTCAGTGGTCTGATTGACAGGTGAATCTATGGCATCTCTTGCATTTTGATCAGCGGCTTCGTTTCCTGGGATTCCGCAGTGAGAAGGTACCCAGAAAAATACGATACTTTTATTGGTCGATTGTAATCTGTGCAGGTGTTCTTGTATTATTTTGGCTGTTGGATGGTCGACGTATACTCTCTGAAGTAATTGAATTGAGCTGAGGGAGTCTGTTATTATAAGAAATTTATTCTGTTCGGATGTTTCAACATATTTCAAGGCTTCAAGAATCGCATGTAGTTCTCCAGTTAGGATTGTTGCTGACTTTGGTAATTTGAATGAGAGGACTCTCTGGGGGGTTATTACAGCTCCTGCTACACCTTGATTTGTTTTGGATGCATCCGTGTATATTTCTGTATAGTCCTGGTAAAAGTCTAAGTTTTCCTTGAATTCATTCTTGATTAATAGATGGTTATCCTTCTGTTTATCGAAATGAGTCAGTTGAATGTTGACCGTCGGTCGTTGAATACTCCATGGAGCTGTTGTGTTATATACGGATGGAAATACTGGGGGAAATTCTTGTATGTTGAGCATGCTCGTCAATCGCCGGATCCTTTCGTAAAATGGGGGATCGCACCTACGGCTGTCAAATGCATTCATGAAGCGGTTCGTTATCGTGTTTTCAATCACGGGTATTGATTTCAAGGATGATATTCTCGAGGCATAAGAAAGGCTCAAAAACTGTCTTCGATAGGCTAATGAGGGCTCACCACTTTCACAGTATAAGCTTTCCACTGGGGTAGTTCGGTAGGCTCCTAGGATAAGTCTAAGCGCGGAGTTGTGGATAGTATCCAGTGTTTTGAGTACTGCTGGTTTTGCGGACGAGTATGCTATGCAGCCGTAATCGATTTTAGATCTGATGAGTGATCGGTATATGAGTAGGAGTGTATGTCCATCTGCACCCCAATTTTTATTAGTTAGGTGTTTCAGTAGATTCAAGCCTTTCTGACAAGTTAGGGCAAGTTGTTTGATGTGTGACTTCCAGTTTAGTTTTTGGTCAAATAGGACTCCTAAAAACTTTATTTCCGTTGTGTATGTGAGATTTATGTTGTATAAGAGCATTTGCGGCTGATATTCTGTAGGTTTTTTCGAAAAGATTATACATTTAGTTTTTTCTGGCGAAAATTTGAAGCCAGAGGACTTCGACCATTGTTCAAGACCAAGTAGGTGGGTGCGTAATGTGCTTGCAATAGTCTCTAAGTTTTTGCCCTTCATGTATAAGATGAGATCGTCAGCGTAAAGTCTTGCCTGGACTGGTTTTTGCACAGATTTCAGGACGTCGTTGATGCCAATCAGAAAAAGCGTGGGACTTATGATTGAGCCTTGCGGAGTTCCATTATCTTGATTCTTCAGTTTGGACATTGTTCCATTCACTCTAACCTGAAATTTCCTGCTGTCTAGAAAATTTTTTATGTATGCTAAGATGTTTCCCTGGTAACCCCAATCTAGAAGTTTTGCTAATATATTATGCCGCCATGCAGTGTCAAATGCTTTATTGATGTCGAAATAAATCGCCATGCATTTTTGTTTGTTCGCGAATGCTTCATGGATGTGGCTTTCTAAGTCCACTATATTGTCTAGGGTAGATCTATGTGGTCTGAAGCCAGATTGTTCTGCTATAAGTTGATTTTTACTCTCCAAGTTCCATATTAGTCTTTTATTGATAATTTTTTCCATGAGTTTCCCCATAACAGATGTGAGTGAGATTGGTCGGTATGATTCTGGTTTCAGTTTTGGTTTATTCGGTTTTAGAATAGGTATAATGATTGATTGCTTCCAAATGTCTGGAAACTTTTGTTCTAGCCATAGTTTGTTGATAATCTTGAGAAGATGATCTTTAGCTATTGTGGGTAGGTTTTTTAAGAATTGTGCTGGGATGTCGTCTGCACCTGGGGAGGTGTCTTTCAGGGATTTCATGGCGTCTGTGAATTCAGCTTTGGTGATTGGTAGGTTTATTGGATCCATGCTTTCTTGAATCATGATAGGAGATGCTTCTTCGTCGAGTTTGTGTATTTGAAAATCTGCATCATAGTTGTTATCTGAGGAGTTCTGCTCGTAATATGTTGCCAACTCTTCTGCTATTTCAGTTCTATTCGTTATCGTCGTTCTATTACTCTCTAATGCATAGATTCCTTGTTCAGTTTCTATTCCAGATATATTTTTTACTTTTTTCCATATCTCGGTTATGGGAGTTTTGCTGTGGATGCTTTCCACGTATTTTTTCCATGTTTCTGTCTTACTTTTTTTTGTGATCAGTTTTGCATACGCCCTCTTTTTTTTCAGCTCAATCAAGGTTTCTGTCGTTTTGTGTTTCTTATGTTTGTTTAGTGCTGTTTTACTGGTTCTTATTGCTCTTTCACATTCTATGTTCCACCATGGTACAGGTTTGTGATTTTTGATCATTTTTGATTTTCCTATTGAACTGTTGGCCGCTTCTGTTATTATATGGTTGAAATTAGTTATAGTCTCGTCAATGTTATCTGATATTGTTATTTTTGATATTTCGTTTTCTATTTTACTCTGATATTGGTCCCAATTGGCATTTTTAAGGTTCCATTTCTGGGGCGGTGTGATGATGTTGTGATGTTGTGCAGGTTTCTTTATCATCAGTGGAAAATGGTCACTACCATATAGGTTGTCGAGGACTTCCCATTTGAGATGTGCTAGGAGGTTGGCTTCGCATAAAGTGAGGTCGATTGCAGAAAAGTTCCCCGTGGCAGCATCGAAACGCGTTCCGGTTCCACCGTTTAGTAGCGCTAGGTTTGATGTGTTGAGTATATTTTCGAGTTGATGGCCTCTCGAATCAGTTTTATTTGAACCCCATATTGGGCTGTGTCCATTGAAGTCTCCCAGTATTAGTCGGGGAGCGGGTATCTGATCAAAAAGATCTTCCAGTTCTCTTTGTGTGGGATCTGTGTTAGGTGGAATGTAGATGTTGCATATGTTGATTTTGTCAGGTGCAGATAAACTGATAGCTGTAGCTTCTAGATTAGTTGTGAGTACGAGTGGATTTGCATTCAATTTTGTGTTGACGTAGATAGCAACGCCACCGCTTGCTTTTCCAGCGTCTAGTCGGTTTTTGAAGAATCCAGTGTAATTTTTTAATTTGTGTGTTTTATGCTCATGAAAATGTGTTTCCTGCAAGCATATAATATCTGGTGAATGGTTTGCTAGTAGTATTTCGAGCATGCTTAAATGGGTGAAATACCCATTCAAGTTCCATTGCATGATAGATTGGAAAATGATGAGTTTATTTTAAAAAAGATGTTGATCCGATGTGGTCGAGGTATCACTTTGTGTTTCGTTTTCATTTTCTAACTGTCTCTCTAATTTTTTCCTCAATTTGGTGCATCTAGTTTTCAGGTTTTTATCTTTGATATGGGAGTGTAAGTCCAGTAACATTTCGATTAGAGCTGGTGTCTTCGTGGTGTAGCCTTTAGCAATGCTGAGGACATCCTTTGATCCGTAGGCATTTTCAAGAAAATCTTTCAATTGTTCCATTGTAAGAATGTATGGTGGTGTGTGTTTGTCAATAGTATCTTTCAAGGAGAGCATGATGTCAGGATCCAAGGTGCCAATGGTTTTTTCTGGTTTGTATTTTTTGGGGTGCGTTACTTTTGACGGGACGTTGAATGTTACATTGGAAAGATCTGGTTCTTGATTTTCTTCTGGTGTTGGCGTCAATATTTCTGATATATTCCGTTTGTTACAGGATGCAGATAATTCAGCTGTTTCCATGTGACTGTCAACAGCAATTGAGTGTCTATCTGGTTCTTGTTCTTGTGGGGGTGAGGGAGGCTGCGAAGCTATTATATCACCATTTCTTGGTCCTTGATCTTGTGTTGTGATTCGATTTGATTCAGGAAGTTGAGTAGGACATCTAGATGCAATATGTCCACTCAGCTTGCATTTGTAGCAAACTTGGTTGTCGCGTGTGAGAAATATACGATATGTGACGCCATCATGAGAAATCTCTAGGGATTCAGGTATCTCACAGTTGTCTGATGGTGTAAAGTAAACTTGTCGTCTGAAACTAAGGATGTGACTATACTCTGGATTTGTTGTTCCAATCCTCAAAAATGTGATAGGTGATATCAATGTTAGTCCTAAGGCTTGGAGTTCGCTAAAAAGTATATCGTGAGGTATAGTAGGGCTCACGTTAGACATCACTAAACGGTCTGATGGAGTGATTAGTCTTCGTGCTTTGATGGTCTCTTCATTGATTGTTATTTTGCCATGGTTTGCTAGGAATTCTTCAACAACATTTTTGGAAGATAGGTAGATGCAAATTCTGTTGTTAGATATTCTCGATGAGAAGATAATATTCCTTGGTTGGACGATAGCTCCTAGTTGTAACAGGTATTCTTGGAGTTTTATACCATCAATCGAGTTGAATATGATTGCCTGTTCTTTCGTTGGAAATTTAGGTGCTTGTTGCGTGACTGCATTAGAATAGGATTTTAGTTGAGGATTATTGTTGGATTGTGATGATTGAGGGTGTGAGTTCTCGTTTGCATCCATTTTGTTAGGTGTCTATTTGAATTTCCACTTCATTCCTAGATGCGGTCCTGCCTACCTGATATTTCAAGCGTGGATCGCGTTTTTTGCGACCGCGATCGTAGGTTGCTTCGATGATATGCCAGTGTAAGTTCAAATGATTCTAGGATAATAGTAGATAATATTGGCTTGAATTCTACTCACTGGTATTGTTGATTCTGAAGATGTTGTGTTATAGTACTTTTTCAAATTAATCGTGGACTGGATTCACTGATAACGTGAGTTCAGTTGGAGCTGAGCACAGTAGTTACTGATAATACAGTGGTCAGAGCCGGACTCCGCTATACATTTACTACTCTGTTCTCAAGGGCGCTGGAACTTCAAGTTATTCCTCGAGTTATTCAGTATGCATTACAACGTTGCCTTCCCCACTGTTGGCAAAATAATTAGGACGTTTGAATACATTCAACAATTCACTCACTAGGATCCGTTTGTCGTAATGACCCAACATTGCATTCCTAAAAGGTTGCGGTGGGTTGGCAGGTGATTATATGGAGATTTCAAAGGCACTGGCAGGCGTTTACCGAGAGAACCTAGTGGTTGGCAAGCAAGCGGCGAAATCTCTCATTAAAAGTCGAAAAATGGACGAGCGAACCGTCTTCAGTCTATGCTGAAGCGATTGTCTTCCCAATTAACACGCTTTCATTTGATGTTTGTATGTTTGTGATGGAATTCACTTCAAAACGTCAGATTGAGATGAATTTTCGCACATTTGTCAAGGATCGATGAAAATTGCATAACTCAATAGTTTTCTTTCATCATCCTGATCAGGATCTTAAGGATGAGTGATTTTTGTCTCACAACTAGAGACACGGCAGGGTCTTGCACTGAATACTCGTATGTTAAAAAGAAAAGATGACCAAGAATTAGAGTGAAAAAAGCAAAACAAGATTTTGTAGTCAGCTGTCCCCTTTGCGCTTTTTGCGCTAATTCAAGGAGTTCGGCTCGCCCATGAAGAACATCTCTTGGTTGGAGTCTGCCGAGTTGAAGCTGACTGATCTCAAGAAACTCCTTCTGTCGCGTGGGAAGCTCCTAAAGCCAGTTGTGTCGTGATCTTTTTTATTCGGTTCCTCGAAGGAACGAATGAAATCTTTGTGATTGTACTTCTTGTAGCTGGAAGGACCACCTCTATTTGAGAGACAAGAAAAAACTCACGTGACTGGAACTTGATGACTTATAGAATAACTGGGTATATAACTCGATATATATATCAGGAACGGCGACGAGATACTTTTTGTGACTTAACTCTATATATTTACTACTCTGTTCGAGTATTTTGGGCATTCTTCAAATTTCGAAACGTTATTTTGTTGGTGATAAGATTGCGCAACTTTGCCTTCATTCAACCCTCTCTGTAGCTCTCATCGTTTCCGAAATCCTCATGCATCTACTAAAATTTCATTCACCCTGTATACAAGATCAACAGTCAAATTTGTATACTGAAGAACTCCATTTCAGACGAATCTTCCTGATCTGTTTTTTGTTTCACAAGCAATTTTTCAGTCTTATTCACGTAGGAATTGATCTAATTTTTCTCTAAATGATTCGAAATAGGTTATATTTCTATAATTTCAATTATATTCTTTCTTCCTCCCTGATGATAGTGAAATATTTCACCCGAATTCATTACAGGTGCTGTTGAATATTTTGAGTATTCTACATAATGTTGAATTATGGGCAGAGTTTTTTTTTTCGAAGGGATTTCTAAAATTTCTAGGCGTCTAGCTGATCTACTTTGAACATTGAATTCGATTTCCGAAACAAGGATTGGACTCTGTGCTAGTCCTTTCATTAGTTTGAAAATTGTTATCAGATATGTAACATTCCTCCTTTCTTTAGGAGTTAACATGTTATTTCCACTTATCAGTGGTGTGAAGTCGCTATTTATCATTTCGATATTTGATTTGTGAGCTATGAATCTAAGAACTTCTTTCTGCACCTACTCTTCCAATTCTATCAATGTGAATTTGATATTGGGGATTCCAAAAAACGGATGCGAAACATAGTTTACTGTGCACATAAGGATAAAAGATATACTCACAAGGCATTGCACATTCCTAAGACTGTGACAACTTCTTTTTAAAAATCCTATTTTTTCCATGTGCGATTTCAATGTCAATTTCGAGTCCATTATTACCCCGAGATCTCCAAGTTCCGATACTGGTTTCAGCTCATGATTTTCAATTCTGTATGTTTAATTGAGTTTATTATTGTTCCTGGTACCTGTGATTGAGATACATTTATCAAGGTCCAAAAATAGGCTATTGTCATCAAAGAATAATGAATGACGGTTCGAGTCTATTCGCCCTTCCCTTGGCTTACCTCAAAGACCTCAGAAATGTTGGTATGTATCATCACTCTATGAACATCTCGAACGATTTTCTAAAGAAATTGCTTAGGTCCCTGCTCACGCACTTTTGGGGTATTCATTGATTGGACTATACCTTCTCAAGTTCTAATTGAGACTTGGTGAATAAATGCAGAAAGGAAATAAACACAATGAAATTATCGAGGAGATTATGAAAAATCATTTCCAGATTCAGAATGAACAGTTTCAAATTGGGAATCAACATATTCGAGATGATTAACACAATCGAACTAAAAATTAACTGATTCATTTTGAGATCAAAACCACTCCCAAATTGGGAAATAAAATGTCAATATAGTATCAAGATCTAAATTGAATTTTAGCAACAATTCATGGTACTTGATACTTCAATTGATGTCGGAATTGGAAATCAAATTTGTGCAGTGATACTGGTGATTGGAGACGAGTGGCAGATACATTCGGCAAAAAAATCAAGGGCGTATCGATGAGTGAAGAGTCAGGAAGAAATAGAGAAACAACAGGAAGGAAAAATAGGACCAATTACAATTACTCAAGAACCTCACTAGCATTGTACAGAATTAAATAAATATAAATAATAGCGATGTATGGATAGATATGCAGCCATAATGTTTAGAGATTCGTTCTTGATGCTCTCAAATTAATTGATGTGTATGTGGAGTATTTATAAATTATAAATAAATAAGACTTCGTTAATTACAGTCGTCTGTAATTATTGAAATCGTCGAATCCTTCTAGATATGGACTATGATATATCGAAATTTAAATGAGTAGAAATACAAATTTGACAATTTTGATGTATTTTTATGGACTCACGTGTTTTGTATATTATAATCAATAAATTCGCTACCGAATTAAACAATTCCATATTGCTTAGTAGTGATCCGTTCCTGTTTGAAATTGATTGGTTCCAGTTATAATTAATTTAGTTCGAATTTGGATGGAATTTTGATTTCCAATTTGAATGTTTTAAATCCATGCTACATCAGTTATGTTCCAATTTGAAGATAAACATTTCCAATTCGAAAATTATAAGTCTTGATTTGAAGTTGAGAAGGTATAGATGCGAAACATGGAAATTGTCGTAAAATTGAGAAAACGTGGAAGATAATATTTTTCATTACTTACACAAACTTTCGAATTTTTATAGTTTTTTTTTCACAAGTGCAGCAAAATTATTGAAGTAAAACTAAAATTTCCAACACCACTGTCGGGCCTTGTAGGAGGGGGCAGATTTTTCATAGTTTCATCACGGAAAAAATCAATCCTCTTGTTAGTATGGGCACAACCAGATATCTTGACACTTCAACCATTCATTTCTATCTATACCCATATTATCGTTATGGTCATCATTTGATATGGTGTCAGCAATGATGTGTATTATGGTTGTGCCTATATTAACCAGAATCGAGACCAGAATATTGTTACAGTCATATACATTTTTCATAATTATTGAGCATAAGTGAAATATAACTTTGGTAAAAGTTTGCAGTATTTTTCAATAATTTTACATGGAAAAATATCCAGTAGTCGGTTTTCCATCATCGCGTTCCCTATGTTTTTTGCAGGAATGCTGAATCCGACTTTGAAATTATCCAAAAAAATTTTTCATGGTGTTGTGAGATATTCTCAATCAACAGCGATATTTGCGCACTCTTTCGGTTTTTCGCTCAAAATTTCCATGAGTAAGTGTGTATGATACCAAAATAAAAAACCCACATTTCGCAAAGAAAAATGAATTTGCCACAATTCGAGTCCAACTACTGCACTGTATATCTACCGGTGCTCGAGATACAACCATTTTTTATTTCAAGTTTTGGATCCAATTTCCTGCTGAATATAGGGCAAAATAGCGATTCTACGAGGAAGATTGTTTGGAATGAAGTTTCCTCGAATCTTTTTACCTTCAATTCAAGCTTAGAGCGATGCGAGTATATTGAATAATTGACTCATATTTTGCAATTAATCAAAGAAATAGGATTAATAGGAAACTGAATTTCGATTGATCTTAACCCTTTCCATGGCTTCGAAGCTTGTTTCTATGAATTTACCTCGAAATTTACTTAACGAAGATGCATTCCAGAATGTCGTGGTTACAATCACATATGGAAAACCTTTAAAAAAATGTCAAAAAAGTGTGAGAAGCTCGCATCCAAAGGGTTGATTGCAGATCCAATTAGTACACAGTTAGTTTAGTTTACCCTGAACAGGTGAATTATGTTCGCCATTCAGATATTCTTTCTCTTCGATTGAATAGTAATGAACACTGCTGCAGAATTCCTCGCATAGCTCACCCAATACATGTTGGAGCATTGAATGAAGGGCTGTGTCGAGGGCTGTGTCAACACAGCCTTTTTTGCTCGATGTGAGCGGCTGTGATAATACATTCGCGTTATTTGCTGAAAAACTCATCACAACAATATTGATATCAAGACTGATGATGAGATCCATAACGGCCTTGTATGGTGGAAACAATTAGGTGCTTCTTTCTACATGAGCTGAAGTACAAATGTTACAAGTCTACAACTCATGAATCCTCATCAAATATAGCAAATCTCCCTCCAATCAGAGCTGCTGCAGCACACCAACATTTTTTGCGTTTTGATTAGCAACCTCG